TAGGGAACCTGCTTTGGCAGGGGGGTTGGACTGGATGATCTCCTGAGGTCCCTTCCGACCCCACCAGTCTGGGATTCTGTGATCCATGACTCTGAATGGGATCTGGTACAGCTCTGGGTGTTTTAGCACTCCAGAAGAGCTATGAAGTTTCTCAGGTCTTTGGAGGAGCTTACTACACTGCCAGCCTCTGAGCAGCACAAAAAGAAATAGCTCTGCTACAAGGGTGACCTGTGGAACAGCATCTCCTAGAACAGGAACGGGACCTGAGGGCTCAAAGAAGTCTCTACACCAGCCTCCCTCCCCCCAGCCCCAGCTGGAACTGAACTCACCAACGTTAGTGGGAAAGATGTCCTCGTTGTTGATCTGCACCTCAATCCAGTCCATCAGGAGGTTCATGTACTGGGGAGCAGACAGGGCCGTGGGTTTCCGGTACTTGTGCTCGTCCTGCCATCGGTACTCGTACTTGGGTCCCCCCGACATGACGGGGCAGGACTGCTCCGTGCAATAGTCACTGATGGTGCCGTAGATCAGGTTGATGCGGTTGAAGAAATCCACCACGTGCACGGCCACCCAGTCGTTCTGCTCCTCTCCCGGCGGCAGCTGGACAGCAACTTTCAAGTCCAGGCCGGCGTTGAGTGAAGCTTGAGCCTTCTTGTGCAGCTCAAACCGCTGAGTCCCCGGCTCAAACTTGCGCTTGGGCCGGAAGGTTTTGTCTTTGTTGAACACTTGCTTTAAAGCGTGGGACATTTTCCTTCTCTTCTTTCTTTTCCAGGTCCGTAGCGATGACAGGCAGAGAGGCAGCGCTGCTGGGCCACTTCCCGGGGCAGGGCTGGGGTGACTCTGATCTTCACAGAAACCTCCCTCTGCTCATCTGGTCCTGATCTGCAACACAGCACAGAAGGGCAGTGATTAGGAGCAGCTCTCTCCACAGGAAACCTTGCCTAAATCCCGTAGGAAGAGATCTGGGATACCATCTGGGCCTTCGCCCCAGATCTGAGAAGTGGGGGAAGCCAACAGCAGTTTTCTTTTCCTCCCCCTTCTCTTTACAGCAGCAGCTCAGCTGTCAGAGGTCACCTGGGCTCAACAAAGTCACACCTACAAGGTCTTGATCAGCGTGGGGATGAGGGAACCAGCCCCACAGGGAAGAGGTGCGATGGGAAGGGGCAAACCAGACGTTGAGGAGTAGCCCCCTCTGTGCTGCCCGGCGCAGGCTCTGCAGGAGACAGCTGTCATTCACCCCAACGTCACCACACCGAGACCCAAACCCCACAGAAACAAGGAGAAACTCCACCACCTCTTCAGCTCCAAGTCACCAAATAATTAAGAAGGGTAAAACTTTTAAGTAGGTTTTACCTGCATCAGATTTTTCACCCACGCTTCTCTCCGATCTCTGGGAACGAGCCTGCCTAAAAGATAAGGTTGTGACGCCCTAAAACAAAGTTCAGATCTGGTGCCAGACACACTCCAACAAAACAGCCGCTCGAGCAGGAGCCGCGTGCGCTGTCGTAGTCGTTAGACAGGATGCAAAAGGGTGGAGGGGAACAAAAGAAGAAGAAGAAGAAGAAGAAGAAGAAGAAGTCGCAGCTCAGGCACCCGGAAGAAGAATATCCTGAAATAACACCAGCTCTAAGAGCAGCCACAACCTCTTCTGCAGGTGCAGACAGACCATAAACATATTTTTTCACTTCAGTTTAACTCATTTCCAGTTGAAGGCTGGTTGAAAGCTGGAAGATCAGGGCAAGTTCATCTTCCTCTTCCAGTCTGTGGAGAAGAATTCGCTCCAAGAGGGTGAGACACAAGTTAAGATCTGAAAGGATGCTGGTGAGAAACACAGCTCTGTTTATCTGTAGCTAATTATACCTCCTTTGTTCCCACATCCATCCCCTCGTGTAATTTGTGACAAGCTGCTCTTTGATGGAAGCACCAGGCAGAAAGCTGTGTGTACCAAAAATATTATTTTACATGTGCTGGATAGAGAAATAAATAAAGTAACAGAAATTAACTAAAGCTGATGCCTCACCTCATCTGGCAAATAAGAGTTTCCATAATTTTCTAAGAAAGAAAGCAAACAAATCCCTTTCACCAAGCAGAAATCTACTTAGGTTTGTATTAAGCTGCGGTGTTGTTCAAATAGGTAAACAGTATCCTCAAAGGCTGGCAAGAAAATCCCAAATTCAAGGGCACAACCATCTTTGCCACGACTCAGCCCGTCTCTAACAGACACTGCATAGTGCTAATCAGCGTTTCTTTGGAGAAAGATTAAAAAGATTTAAACCAGGGCCTCTTGTTTTCTTATTTAATTACAGCAAGGAAGAAAACCCAAAGCACTTCAGTTCGTCCCACTAAGAACAGGCTCGACGTTTCCTAAAGCTGCTTTTCCTCCAGGAATGGGCTCAGAAAACTCCTCTGTGCAGGAGCAGAGATCCAAACTCCTATTGTAACGTAGGCCAGGACACAACATCAGGAGAAACTGAAAAATCAGTTTAATGTGGTTCAGGGAGATTCAGCCTGGGCTGCAAGGTGAATTCACTGCACACGTGCTGTCGCTGCTAAAACAGATGCTGCGACCCCGTAAGCTACTGTGTGAGAGTCAAAAAAAATAGATAAATAAGGAAAAATAAGAAACCCCCCAGGAAATGTGTCCTTACGAGGTGTTTGATCACGCCACAGCCGTGGTTAGAGGAAGCAGTGAACAGCGCAGAGGGAGATCTGAGCACAAGGCAGCAGCTCTGGTTACCGAGAGCTGTGTCACAGCCTCACCACATCCTGTGGGGCAGGAGCCCCAGGGGACTGTACCCACCTCGCCGCGGTGCCACGTCCGGAGCAAAGGCAGGACCAGCCTCCAAGTAACCAACAATGTGGACGGCAGGTGCTGAGTCTGCAGCTATTTCCAGCAGGAAATCAGTCCCAGAGCAGCACTCGCACACAACCATTTCCTTACATTGGAGATGGAGAAAGAAATGTCCTTTAAAACAAAACAAGCCACAAGGAAGCGCGAGCATCACCCTGCAGACAGCTCCCTGGAGGACTGGCAGCATCCTCGGCACAGCACAACCCTGGTCCTGCTCATCTCCTGTAAGATCTGATTCCAGTGACTCCGCTCGGACCCGTGCTGGCCTGAGCCCGCAGCCAGGCACCGTCCCTCCCGCAGGACACGGACGTGTTGAGGTCCCTTCCAATCCCTAACACTGTGGGATTCCGAGGGATTCTGAGTGATTCTGAGTGATTTCTCAGGCTGCAGCTGCAGGGCCCGGCACAGAGAAGAGAAAGGGATGAAGCAGGATGGCAAAACTGCGGAGAAAAAAACCCCCAAACATCCCCTGGGCTTGGCCACGCACATCAAGCAGCAAACACCGACCATTTTCCAGAAGAAATTGTCATGTGAGCAGGGTGAAGAGGTTTTTAACATGGCTTATTGGGTACCGAGGCAACATCCGTCCTACAAACAAACTTCCTCTTCCTAAGGAGACATCATTCATGAGAACTGGGGAGCTCGACACAGCAGCAATCGTCTCTCAAACGATTCAGCATCTGTCTGAAGGCATTAGCAAAATGAGTAGCTAAGACTTCAAGCAGATGCAGCCTGTGTAATTACAGTCTCTGACTGCAACTGAGCTAAAGAAACATTTAGCTCTGGGGGAGGTGGGGAGGGAAGAAAAAAAAAAAAAGGCAGAGAGACCAAAAGCGTCGCTGACATCGCTTGGAGATTATATCACACGTACAACACCTCCTTCCACAGGCAGGAGTCACAGCTCGGGCAGCACTGAGACACTTTGCAGAGAAGAGAAAGGAAAGGTCAGGAACAATGAAGATACAGGACGTGGAAAGCACCTGAATGGTATTTACAAGCTTCAAAGATGAGGAGGGGGGGGAAAAGAAATTAAATAAAATCCCTCATAAACAAACCTGCAACACATTTTGTTTACTCCTCCCTTCCAAGCAGCCAAGATTACAGCACACGTCACCGGTGCTCGGAGAGGACCTTGGCCGTCCCTCCCAGATCACAGCACCGCGGCAGAAAGCCCCGCGCCGCGGCGGGCTGTCCGGAGCACAAACCAACCTCCAGCTCCTCCGCTAACCCCAAGGACACCAGGGGAGCTGCTCGGTATTACGCTGGGTAAGGAGGTGACTGGCCTGCCCAGGCAGGGGTGTTGAGGCCTGGCCCTCCTGTCCCTTCCCAAAAGCTCATTTTCTCCCTGTACTCCCTGCTCTCCCAGCTCCCAGCGCTGATTTCTGCTGACAGCGATCCAGGGCAGGCCTCTGCCGTTCCTCTTCCCTCGCTGAACGGTGGATCACGCAGTGCTGCTTTACTTTTAAGCCAAGCTCCAGGCAGAGGAAACCCAGGCGGTTGCTTCCCCAGCTCTTGGTTACTTTTACACGCAGCTCAGAGAGGGAATGAGGAAAGGAAAGATGGTCACTTCCTCCAAAACACCTGGAAACCACCTCCCCTTGAAGCCGTCCCAAGCCTTTCCAGGTGTGAGCAGCGTTCCCGATGGATCCTGCCCGCCCCGGAGAAGCAGAACAGCCAAAACCTTCTTCCAGGAGTCCCATGACTGCTCTGTCAGCGCCTGCCCCGAGCAACACCCAGATCTCCCCTCCACTAACACCGTGCAGGGTTCAGCAACAGCCAGGGGATGATAGGAAACCAAGCCAGCACGTCAGCAAGCTCCTACCTGCGCTTCCAGCCTCGGCAGATTACTCGGCGATTGCTCAGCCTGTCTCTGCAACTTCTACGAGTGCTTGTAGGCACTGAGGCAAAGAGCTGCTTCCTTTTTCAAAAGAGGAGGGGGAAAAAAAAACCCAAAACCCAACCTAAACCATCCCATGTCACGGGTGGCTGCAATCCAGAGGTTCCCGCAGGCCGGGGAGGGGTCAGACACACGGCCACTTCCCTCCCAGTGACCCCAGTGCCGGGGCGGCTCACATCCTGCTGAGAAACCCTCCAGCAAACCCCAGCGAGCAACACGATTCTCAAAATGATCCATTTCTGTCGTTTCCGTTCAGGGAAGCCACGCTGCTGTCCTGCGAGGTGACACCAGTATGGTATCACTGGTATACCAGTATGGTATCGCTGCTCAGTGCTCACACCGCATCCAGCCCAAAGCTGTTTGTAATCGCAGCCCTTCAGTGACGAGTCTGCCTGGCTTGTCACCCTGTCCCCAAGTCCCCATGTCCCCTTGGAAGGGAGAGGGGAGCAACGATCCCCCTGTCTTCCCCCCGAGCCATTTTCAGTGTCCTCAGGCCAGAGTTTCCAGTACAGGACACAAACCCACCCGTGCCAGTTTGATAAAGCAACCACAACACATCGGATGCATCGAGCGCTTCAAGTAAAAACCAAATTTACAGAGCACACCCCAGAAACAAAACAGCTTCAGAAATACACGATTTAAACAAAAGAGCAAAGACTGACCCACAGGCACTTTTTTTTTTTTCTATAACTCCCCTCGTTTCTTTCACAAATACCTTCCCTGGTCATTCTGCACTAGCTCAGTTTCTTGGTACAAGATGATCCTGGGTTTTTTATGATCAAAGGAGAGAATTTAACATGTAGAGCGAAGATCAGAACAATCATGGCAAGCAGGGCTGGACTGGCACTAATGACAGGCAGCTTCTGGAGCCAGTCTGGCAGCAAACAAGACAGCTCACCTGCACGGGACGAGGTTTGTGGCTGCTCTTTCGAGTTGTTTTATGGTATGAGAAATGAAGGTCTGTCCCGTGCTTACCTCAGCCAGGGCAGGGCTCAGCGAGGAGTGTGGGGCAGAGGAGGAGGAGGGCCGAGCACGGTGGCAGCAGGGACGTCTGGCCATTCATAATCCCGGCGAGACGGCACTTCCACGTCAGCCAGCTTCCTGTCTGGCACCGAGTCCGGTCTCCTGGCCCGTGGAG